GTTGTCTGTCCGGGGGCACAGGTAAGGGGGGAGGGCAGGCCGCGTGGGTGGGTGTCCTGTGGGGGGTTCTGTGTGCAGAAGGCTGAGTGTGGGGACACGACTGGCAAAGCTGACAATGTGTCTCGAGTTTATAATCTCTGGGTTTGTCCCCGCGTCAGACAGTCCTGAGCTCACTTTAAAGAAGACGCCAGAAGCAACCCTCAGGCTGCAGGAACTGACAGTAGAGTGAAGTAACGTGTCAGCAGGAGGGGTAAAAGCGAGCGCATCTCACACTCGAGGATTTCGGTAGCGGGAATGGACTGTGGGACTACATGTGAGGTAGAAGTACGGGGGTCTCTGACAGGACCTGGACCGGGCTCGAGTACAGGCGTGACAGCTGCGGTATGGGACATCAGGGGGCACCTGGGTCCCGGCAGCAGGCCTCCGACTCTAACGAGAGAAATCAACATTGATTCTGGGAACGAGGGGTCTTTCAACCCAAGGAGTCTTAAGAGAACGCTTCTTACTAATAACAAGATAACTCCTCGGATCCCTGTTTAAGCTTCTAGAAATATGAAGTCCCAGAGTGCTCTTGATACATTGAACCGAACTGTCAAAACAGAGCCCCAGGAGAGAAAATTACAAAGAATTTCCAAGATGTACTTCTGACAAGGTCAGAGGGAAAATGGCCTAGGGACTGTAAGACTTTCTCACTTGGGCTTCTCTGCAAATGTAAGAGAAAACATGCGCGTACAGCCGGTCATTCCAGCTTAAACGCGTAGAAACTGCAGAGTCTGTGCTCAAATGCTCCATGCGTATGTGCACCGAGGTGTAAGCCAGGTCCATTACTTGGGGGTGGGGCACAGAAAGGAGGGAGGAAGGGGGGAGGAGGGGAGGGAAGGTGTAGCTGCAAGAGCATCACTGGTTGGATGGTGATCTTCCGAAAGCAGAAACGGAGACTCATCCTTAATCTGGTCCTTTCAGGCGGGAAAATGTGGTGTAGGATTCATTTGGTGATGGAAAAATGATAATATAAATAACATTAAGGCCCTCGGGGAAGGGAAAAAGGCTTACAGACTCATGGGCAGTGACGAAGATATGAGATATTCCTTCAGTTTCACTGGAGTCATGGGTAGATATATATTGTCTTTAGCATTCACTCTGACAGAGAAAACAAACAAGGGTCGTGTGGATTCCCTTTGCAGGTGAGGGTCAAGAAAGAACAAATAAATTATCATGAAGAAAATGAACTCAGCAACAAGGGTGTCATGAATTACTACCAATTAGATTATCAGAGTTTCAGGAAAAAAAATAATTGAGTCAGATTGCCGGGAGCGCCTATGAAACAGACTAATGCAGGGTGGTCAGCCTCACATTGTGAAGACACAGGCCTCAAAGAAATCGGGAATCTTCTCCAGTCTAATAGCAAGGGCTTCCAGGTCACCAGTGAGCTGCCGGCCTCCAGGCTCGGCCTCTCAAACGGGGTGTCACAGTGGACCGTTAAGGATGCACCCGTGTCCGGGGCAGGACAACTGAATGAAATGCACCAGGACGATATGGTGCTTAAGGTCACAACAATTAGAAAGCACCGCTGAGAGCAAACAGTGGGGGCTCTGCACAGAACACCCCAACCCCTAGACTGCTCAATTCCCAGGCTCCACGCGTCACCTCGGCTCGGCCAGAACCGTCGTCTTGAGTAAAATCTGACTCGTAACAGGAGCACCTCATAAACACGGACCACAAGAATTTCTCACGGTGCTTTACTTCTAGTTTCTCAAAACAGCGACTCATCAGACTTACTGAAAACTTACAAGATGTTCTCCAAGATCATAAAATGAAAGCAGTATGTGAACAGTGATGTATTAAGTGGATTAAGGAGAACTACCCAACGGAACACATCTCTCGTAACACACACAAAATTTATTTGTTCCTTTTATCGCTATTTCCTAATATTCTACCAGAGAACATGTATTTCTTGTGCAATAAAAAATAAAGGAGAACATTCTTACCATGTTTACCATTTCATTAAAAACTTCTTCGGAGACAAAATGGTAATCAACCCGGTCCCCTTCTCCAAAGTAAGGGGGTCTCGTGGTGTGACAGGCCCTGAAACACAGAACAGGTCATCTAGTCCGTATCGACAAACTTGAAATTCAGAATGGAAGTGGTTCAGTACAAAGTACATTTGAAAAAACTGAAATTGACCCGTAAATCATAAGTGATAAAGGAACGCCATGGGGAAAGCCCGTGCTTTGAAATGCCGCTGTGCCCCGCAGGGCTGATAGAGTCTGGATTATCAGCGTCACTATTTCACTCCTTGTCATTTACGCCCCTCTGACCCGCCTTCTCTGCCATCACATACTCCTACTTTGGGAAGCAGAACAACATTTGTTACTGACACATTTCCTACCCAAGTGTTTCCATGCTGTCTCTGACCGATGGGCATTATCTGCATGTTCCTCTCATCGCTCCACCTGGCTGGCCCGCTGCCTTTCGGGACTCAGTTTAAGTACCAAGCCCCTAAAAAGCCTTTCTTGAGCCCCTGTGGCTGGGTCACGCACCTCTGCTCTACACTCCCGCAGCTGGCGGCCGGCTCCTAGCGCGGGGCCCGGCTCCTCTGCTGCTGAGGGCAGTGAGCTCCGCGCCGAGCTGCCAGGGCTGGTCAGACTGTGCACGAACCTGCGCTGGGAGCCCACGATTCAGTGCTGAGGAGGGTCCTCAACGCAGCCAGAGGCCTTTCCTGACCACTGTCTGAAATATCGTCGCCACTCCGCACGGCCACACCCTGCTGGACCTGCCAAATTCACCTTCGTTCTCTGGAGTGCTGGACACAACTTAAGAGATCAGCAGCACCGGAGATTCCAGCACACACAGTGTTTGAGAATCAAATCCCAGGAAGCCACTGCTCTGTCCACTCTCCAGGAACGACAGACCCCTTTCTAACGCACACCATCATCACCTGTCACTATATCCTAACTGGTCTCCCGTCTCCAGCCTGCCCTCCCCAACCCCCCCCAAATGCATGCTAACAGGGTGTGCTTCCTAAAATTCGGCTGAGCTCACGACACTCCCCTGCTCAGAGGCCCCGTATGATCAGACCGCTGTGTCTCTCCAGTCCTACCTCCTGCCATCTCCCTTCATGCTTCAGGCTTGGCCTCTCTCAGAGTGCGCTTCTGGCTAATCACATGGGCCTGTTCGTTCTCTGGGATGCAAGCCCCGCTCACGCCCCACATCCCACCCCTCTTCTATTTCTCTCTCACAGAGGCGTTTGCTCCCCTCGTTAGCTCCCATCAGACTAGTATCTCGTTGGACAGCACATACCCAGATACTAGACTGTGAGCTGCCGGGAGGACAGGACCCCTGTCTCCCTGTTTTACAGTTTCATCACCGGCACATGCACATGGATGACTAAGTGAACCCCCCTACTAGGCTGCCACATCTGTAAACACACAGGTTAGACCGAACTGCATTCAGGCAGGAGTAGCTCATAGCGGTGCATTTGGCGAAACAGCTGTGGTCTTTTGCTTTGCTGTATGACAGTGTTAAAAGTAAAATATATTTAGCAGTCAACATCATGCAAAAGGTTACGAAAATTCAAAGTGCTATAAAACAGATGTAAGGAAAAGTAAAGTTTTTCTTTCATGACCATTCGGATCACGTAAAGGGTCTTAAATCTAGAAGGTGAACGGCATGCTGGTATTGTTGTGTGTTTCCCTCGTTACCAGCTCTCTTCCAGGAAGCCACTGATTTGGGTGCTAATATTAAGGCTGGAAATAGAGAGACTGAAGGCAGGAAATCCGTATTTCCAGGCCACTAATAATACAGAACATCCAACCTACTTCTAAAACCAAGAACAAACAGTAAAGTTGAACCTAAGACAAGAGCACAATCTCTCGGCCACACCGACATCTGTTATACCACCAGTTACGTTTTTAATATTTATATATCTGGATATGCAACTCAGCACATGAAAATGTCAGTGAATGCCTTGGTCTTGGGTCACTGCGATGTAAAAAAAGAAGACAAAACACGAGGAGAAGATAAAATAAATGGCCCAATGTCCCTACCCTCACCGGGCTTACAGATGAGCCCTGAAAACAGACATTAAACAAACCAGCCACAAGAATGATAAACAGCATCCTACTAGGGGAAATACAGGGATTAATGAAAATGGATAACTGGGGGCCTAGCCAGGTGGGACTTAGAGGCGGACTGGATCAGAGTCTGTGTGATGAGTTCATAAATACCTCCCAGAACACGTGCCTCCACAGTGCATGCCACAAGCAAACACGAGGGACAGGCCACCAACCATTGGCAGCATAACTGGTACTCAAGACGTGCAAGGAGTTCTAAGCAGAGAAGGCCCTGGTCCTCCTCACTTTGGTTTTCTACAAGGTTCCCGGTTGACGTATCAGCACAATATCGGGATGCACCCCTTCGCCCTAGTCTGACCTTCCATTCTTTGCGTTCCACTTGTCTTTTACGACAGGTTCAGTACTCCTACATGAGTGTGTGGCATTCTATATGTTTTTATTCTAAAATTAAGTTTTAATTTATTTTTGTTACTTCAGGGTACTTAAAGCATATTAATGAGTAAATTATTCTTTAGTATTTGTATCCTATGGTTGTTTGAACAAGGAATATAGTTTTAGATATCTGAATAAATGGGCCTGTTTAAAGAGTATTTGCATTGTTTGAACATGTGTAGCTGAAGGGAAGGAACTTGCCTGTAACCGCATTAGAAAATAATTTGCATTTATTTCTCTGGCTGTCCTATACATCTTCGCAGTCACATCCTCGATTCATGGACAAACACCACTAATCTGAAAGTAATTTCTTTGCATACAGAGAAAAATAAGAGGGGGAAACCAGTTTAAAAGACCACAGTGATGCCTGGCCAGAGCGGCTCAGTTGGCTGAGCATCTTCCCAAGAACCAAAAGGTCTCAGGTTCAGTTTCGGGTCAGAGCACATGCCTGGGTTGTGGGCTCGATCCAGTAAGGGGCGTGCGGGAGGCAGCCGATCCAGGCTTCTCTCTCCCTCAAATCAATAAAAACATATATAAAGACCACAGCGATCATTCTAAATCTGATTCTCATAAATTTTTCAGAAGTCTGCAAATCCAGATGAAGGCTTCTTTTGGATGGTTCCAGTTTTTTTGGCTATTTCCTCTATTTTATCTGGGTCATTAGGGAATCGTGCAGGAAAACACTTGTTCCAGAAAACTAAGTGTGCTGAGTGCTGACTGAGGGAAAGGAAAAGAAAGCCTTCTGCTCCCCCTCTGCCCTCCTCCTGAAATATGCCTCAAGCGGGGAAGCCGGCGCAGGGATGAGGGAGCCGAGCGCTGCGGGCGTGGGTTCCGCAGAGGCCGGGAGAGGCTGCGTGTCACACGCCATAGCCCTGTGAGCCGTGCTGGCACCCGGCACCGCGACGGGATGAGCCGCGTTCCAACGCCACTAGGCTTAATTGAAACACATGTATTTCCTAACCTTGGAGCGGGATTTCGGCTGTCACTGAATTAAAGTTACACATTTGCAGGATTAAAGTAAAAAAAAAAAAAAAAAAAAAGTACAGTGTATATCTCCGCGCCATAAACGGCAAAGACGCAGACAAGCCCCCGTGCACGCGTCTGAACTGCGTCAGACGGACGGCCAGTCGGCGACACCGCCCTCCCTCAGCCTCCCGGCCGTAAGCGGACTCACCCGTATCGGAAGTAAGCGCTCAGCTGTCGGCAGAGGCGGTGGGCCAGCTCCCGTTTGCCGCAGGCCTGAGGGCCGGCCAGGACCAGCATGGGGTAAGGGGCGTCCAGGCTGGGCAGGGTGCTGCAACACAGGGCAGGCGGAGTCAGCGCGGCCTCACCGCACCCACGCGGCTCTGTGTCGGTCCCAGTGCACGCAGCGGCCAGCACTTGCTGGGGGCGGGCCCCGCACAGCAGGCGGACCTCCTCCCCAGAAGCGAGCTGATGGCCACGCTGGGCCAAAGTTATATTCAAAGCATAGATAGCCCGTAAAATCCAAGTCTGTGTAAGTGTACTAACAGTGCTTTTAAGAGAGGATATATGGTAAGGCATGTTAATTCTTGGCTGATGAAGCATTGCCCCGAGAATTTCAAAATCAAAGAAGTGAGGCCGCCCTCTGAGAGTTAGACTGCAACATCCCTACCGGCTGAATTAAACACCGACATGCAGAGGAGCGGTAGTAACTCAAACTCACCTGAGCAATTACTATGTTCCAGGCACTTTTCTAGGGGCCCTACGTGTATCAGCTCATTTAGTTATCACAGGAAGCTAATGAGGGGATTTCTATCGTTATCCCCATTTAACACGTGTGAAGGCTGAAACAGAGAGGTTGATTAACTTGCTCAAAGTAACAGCTAACAAACGAGAGCTGATGCATGAATCTAGGCATGGCTCCTGAGCCTGAGAGGATGGCCTGCAGAACGAATTTGTTACTCAAATCTCCTGCAACACAAGGAGCTGAAGCGCTGGATCTCACTCGTGACACGAATTATAGAACAAATGCAATAGTTTAAATAAACATAAGGCTGAGGACTGAGTTCTATGAATGGGGTGGGGCGGCATGATTTCTCAGTCCCTCTGAATGCCCACAGAGGAACAGGAAAACTCGAGAGCAAAAGCCCAGGGGAAACCTGTATAGCAAACCGGGGGATAAGGTATCTCCACGAACCACAAATCGGCACAGGAAGAGGAGGGAGGAAGCAATGGGGCAGCATCTGACGGATCTGAGAACAAGGGCACCCCAGCCAGCCGCTGGGTGCCCACGGGAAGCGGGCCGGCTGGAGCCGCACACGCACAAAACCTGTACCTGGCCGTTCCCGCTCCCGGCAGCTGCGCGTGTAAGAGCCAGACGCTGGAGTCGGCCCAGAAGAGTCGCCACACTAACTGTGGGGCACCCACCCCAAGGCATGCTACTCGGCCGTCGTGAGGAATGAAGGGCTCACACGTTCACCAGCTTGGATGACTCTCCAGGGAGTGAGGCTGAGGCTAAAAAGGCCAATCCCAAAGGTTCTGTGCTATCTCGTACCAATTCCACGACGCTCTTGAGATGACAGCGTTATACGGAAGGGGAACAGGTTACTGGTTGCCAGAGGTGAGGGGAGATGTGGCCATGGCTTTAAAAGGGAAGCACAGGGATCTTGTGACAAAGCTCTTCTGCATCTTGGCTGTGTGCCGCTCGTATGAATCTGCACTCGCGATAAAACTGCAGGGCTCCAGTAAGGCTGGAACCCCATCAGTGTCAGCCTTCTGGCCTGAGGCTCTGCCACAGCTGTGCAAGATGCTACCCCTGGGGGAGGCTGCGAAAGGGACACGGAATTTCTCTGTGTCGTTTCTTACAGCCGCATGTGACTCTAAAGTTGTCTCAAAATAATTCCTTGATGAGTCAAGGGAAGAGGAATTTGAAAGTGACAAATACTGAAAAAAGACAAGGAGATCTTCCTGAAGAAGGAAACCAAAGCGAAAGGACAGAACAAACACTACAGGCTGTAATTAAAGAAAACTTTCCTGAAACGCAAAATCAAAACAAAACTCTACCTTGCGAAGGGACACCCAGCATGCCTGAGAATATGAGCCCAGGGTGATGGGTACAAAGTAAAATTACTGGACGTAGAAGGAAAAAACTCTCCGGCTAGGAAAAGGGAACAGGTGACTTATAAGGGAAAGGAGACCAGACTGTCCTTAGGTTTTTGACGGCGATGCTTTGCACGAAAATGAAATGAAGTAGCATCTTTAATACATTGAGGGGAAAAGTATGAGCCATGGATGCTATATACTACAGCAGAAATGACTTTCAGCACAAAGGGCAGAGAATATTATCAAGACGGGGACACCGATCCCATAGACCTTCCTAAGGAGTCCCCTCGAGCGCGAGCTTCACGCAACNTTCAAGACGGGGACACTGATCCCATAGACCTTCCCAAGGAGTCCCCTCGAGCGCGGGCTTCACGCAACCAAAATGACTAGAGACAGCAGCAGAAGGGCTGGAGGGGAAGAGTGGACACGCAGTTACCAGCAGAGCCGGGACTAAATGCCAGCAACAGAGCAGCTTGATGGGTATGTCCTGATGATATAAATGCAGGGCACTATTTTTAACTTGGGGTGACTGACACTTATATAAAATACGTACAGTAGGCAAGTTCACAGAGCCAGAAGGTGGATTAGAAGTTGCCGGGGACCGGGAGTAGCAGGGAATGGGCGTTACTGTTACCTTCCGTTTGGGCCCAGCGATAAAAAGTTTTGGAAAAAGATGGTGACGATGGCTGTACGACACTGTGAATATAATTAATGTCACCGAACTGTACACTTTAAAATGGTTAAAATAGCAAATTTTATGTTATATATATTTTACTGTAATGAAAAATGAGGGGAGAGGGGGAGTCTAAGTATGTTCAATGCTTTCAGTAACCACGTCGGTGGTGGTCTTAGTATTGATATTCTGACAGTGTTGTGGTATAAGGTGGGATTAAAAAAAGTTATGGGATATTCTAATTGCATCATCTGCATCCTTGCTGGGGAAAAAAGGAGATGCAGATGTAACAGAGGGGGGTTAGGTAAAAGCTCAACTGTAGTCTTGACATTGAACTGCAAGTATCGGTATGAACTGAGGAGGTATTTTATCACCTATCTTTAGATTGATACAGATAGATTGATCTAGATACAGATTAGATAGGTATAAACACGTTGGACAGATACAGATAGATAGGTACAAATAGGATAGATAGAAGAGATGAATACGTGGATGAAAGATCGAAAGGAAGGAGGGGAAAAAGGAAGGAAATAAATAAACATATTCCCAGTCCTGTCCACTGCGAGGCCTAGAAACAATGACGAGCCCGACAGCAATGCTTATCTCAGCTCTCAGACTGTGACTGGAAAACACCATCTCCCACTGAAACAGACCCGGGCCTCCGGGAGGAAAGGGTGGTTTCAAGGTTCGGACAGGACGCGCACAAGACGAGCCTGGAGAACCTCGTCAGCCCAGAGAGCATGAAGCTCTCAGCGGCCACCAGGCCAGAGTCAAGGCTCTGCTGGGTCACCCCAACCATGCAGGCGCAGGGACAGGGATTCCCTTAAAATGCAGCACAGAAGTCCCAAGGCCAGGAGTCAGGCTTCCTCCTGGGCAGCCAGCGAGCAGTGACAGGCCCGCTCCGGCCCCCGCGTTTGTCACAGTGAACACTGCTCCATCCGGAAGCAGCCAGGGCTGCTCAGCCAATTGCTCTTATCTGCTCAACAGCTAGNTGTGTGCCGGGCCAGCGTGGGACCGGCAGTGACAGGCCCGCTCCGGCCCCCGCGTTTGTCACAGTGAACACTGCTCCATCCGGAAGCAGCCAGGGCTGCTCAGCCAATTGCTCTTATCTGCTCAACAGCTAGAAATGATCACAAAATACGTGTTTATCAGGCACTGTTGTAAATTTCTTTGATACATATTTTTATATAAATGTACCCTAAAGCGAGAAACAACTAGCAATCTTCATAAACTAAAAAAGAAATACGGTGAGGACATTAATGCTCTTCTTTTAAAATCAAATGTGTTTTTCCAGATGTATGCAAATAAATGATAAATCACTTCACCTAGAGGGCTACCATAAGTGTATAAAACTGTCAATGTCTGTATTATTAAGTTATAGGTAAAAAAATCACATCCTGGATGCGAAATAAAACATTCTGCTCTCCGTGGGAAACCAACCATGCGACGTATAGGCACAAATATCACACGAAAAAGAGAAGCCATTTATAACCAAGAGATCTCACAAGTATTTTTAAAACGCCTTTGGGTATTGCTGGAATTTCTGTATTACACTTATAGCATAAGTGGCCATCTGCTCCGACAGATTACTTAAAAAGGAGAAATCGTGGTAAATCTGTCTTCGAACTGAGAGGCGAGAGACTGTTCATGGGTCCAGCCAAGCCGAGCGGCTGCTCCGAGAGCAACCACTGGGCCTCCCAGGCTTCCCTGGGGGCCGGGCGAGCCGGCTTCCTCCGAGGGACCCTCTAATAACCTGCATTCATGGGGTGCTTCTTGGCAGGGCCTCTAGCATTCACGCACAGCCAAGGAAAAATTTACAATGGGCAGAAATGATCACAATTGTCTGTGGTTCTATCCTACAGCAAAAAACTCAACAAACTCTTTTTCATCATTATTATTTCACTGTCCCATGTCACAGGCTAGTCACCATTCAGGGGCCAGATGAGGGAGGGAAGGTGAGCCCACTCACCGCTGCACTTGGGAAGACACCGAGAGACAGCCCATGTTCAAGCGGGTGGTCTCGCTGCCAGTGAGCCCACACAGCCTATCCGGTACAGGCCTGGCCCCTTCCCTCGGACAAGCGCACCAAATAGCAGCACAGGGGAACTGAAGGGGCTGTCCTGTGCTCCGCGCCCTGAGTTCTACCCTTGGGACCCCTGGCGATTACCTGTCAAAGATCCTCTGCGGCTGCAGGACGCTGTTGAAAACATTGGTCAGGTGATCCTGGGCTGCGACCACTTCTGGGGGAGGGTTGTATTTATTCATTGCCGCAACCTTTTCCAGAATTAGAAACGCGAAAGGGAAACAGGTTTCATTTCTCAAAAGCACACAAGGCTTAGATTTTCTTGAATAAAATAGCTTAGACACGCAACCAGGTAGAGAAATAATTTAATGCGTGCTCATGAACCTCTGTGCTCAGTCTTCGTGTCCACTCTAACTTCCCTGAAACCTAAATAATGGTAATTATTTTAAAATATTGAGCTGGAGTCCCTCGGTCCCTACCTCCTTATACTCCCAGGTTTGGAAGGGAAAAAGCAAAAACAGAAACAAGACCTCTAAAGTCCAAGATTACTTTTAATACAGTAAACGTCCCAACTTTTAGTATAAGAAGAAACAAAATCAGTTCCAGATTCCAGGGGGTTGATGCTGCAGAATTTCCTCCTCATGCCAGCTCACCAAGAACTATGCCGATGATCTCCAGTTCCACCAAAACCAACTCCTAAAACTTTTAGCGTAACTTTCTCTGTTCAAAGACACGGGCCTTTTTCTTCTAAGGCACAGCTCCCCATCCCCTTGCTTTGGTCGTCCTCTAAACACATTACCCGTCTGCCACACCTTTCCTTAATCCACAGCTTTGAATTTTTTTGCCTTTGTAAAACATTAAAGGGAAAGAGAAATCTAGTAAGGGCCTTTGAGTATGAGAATGATAACAGACTCCCATCTGTAAGTATTTTTAACCAAGAATTCAGAAAGGCCTTTATGAAATGAAATATCTGCTTCTCTACACAGGTATAACCGTTTTCATTCCCATCTCAAATTTGCATCCAGTGTAAGAAACCCCTCATTAGTGGAGACTGCAGGTGGCACCAGCCACTAAAGCAAGACAGAGCAGTGAGCACAGGTAAGGCGGGGGGCAGGCAGGGGCTAGCATTCAAGGTCCGGTTACTCTGAGCTGTGTGTCCAGATGAATTATTATCTCAAAAAGCAGAACTAAGGATTTAAAACAGTGATTCATTTGTGTGCCTTTTGAGTATATAGTGGAATGACATTTCTAATGCATTTCATTATTAAATGAATTCTTAGAGTAACACATAGAATGACACACCCTCTAAAAAGGTTATCTAAATCGACAGTCTGCCATAATGCCACAGGCCGATACAAATGGAATGCTGCTGCTGAATTTGGGCTGGTGTTCAGCTTTGCAGAGGGTTAAACAGACTGATCCTAGGACATGGGAACACCCCCTGAACAAATAATTAATTTACATGTTGTAAATTAATTATGTGTATTATTTATTGGTTTTATTGGCCCTGCAGCATAAGCTTTTCAGCTTATTAGCTAAGAAACACATNGGCAGCACAAGCTTTTCAGCTTATTAGCTAAGAAACACATGAAATAATACGATTACATACCTTTTCTTCCACTTTAATCTTCTTCTGATCTAATTCTGTTAACCGCAGTAGCATAAAAATGACGAATAACCAATATTCACATTTTTCCTATTTAAAATATCAAGAGGAGTATTCAGTGGCCTTCATTTTCCCAAGTTAACAAGCACCGGCATTTTGCTTTCATGAGCACTGGTCTGTCACCTGCTATCTCCTGTCACTCTCACACACACACACAGAGGCCTCTACATTTTCGCACTTACCAGCCCCCTTATATTAACAACTCAAGAGCACACTGTGCTTGCAACTTATGAAGCTCTTCAAATGTGTGACCTTGTTAGTCTCCCTGTGAGATAAGCAGGACAGGTGTGATTATCTTCAGCTCTGAAGAGAAAACCAACTGAGCCTCAGAGAGGTGATGCTTTTCCTAGTGACCCGTGGTCAGTGACTCAAACCCTACCTTCNATGACCTTGTTAGTTAGTCTCCCTGTGAGATAAGCAGGACAGGTGTGATTATCTTCAGCTCTGAAGAGAAAACCAACTGAGCCTCAGAGAGGTGATGCTTTTCCTAGTGACCCGTGGTCAGTGACTCAAACCCTACCTTCTTTTTTTTTTTTTACTTTTAAATAATTATTTATTTGTAAATTAAACCCTACCTTCTAACTCAGAGATTCTCAACCTTTTCCATTTCATGGCACATATAAGCTAATTACTAAAATTCTTCAGCACACCAAAGAATATATTTTTTTGCTGATCTGATAAAAAATAGGTATAATTTTTATTGATTTACAAAGAACAATAATAGTAATTACCTACCCATTTTGCTCCAAAAGTGACTTTTAAAAAATAAGCCAATCAGAGAAAGGTAAGAACCATATGATTTCACTCATGTGCAATTTAATGAACAAACTGAACTACCAAGCAAAATAGAGGCAGACTCATAGACACAGAGCAGACAGATAGCTCTGGTGGGGGTGGGNAGGGACTGGAGGGATTGAGCAAAAAAGAAAAAAAGAGAGAGAGAGAGAGAGAACTCATGGACATGGACAAGTGTGGTGATTGTGGGGAGAGGTGAGGGGGGTTGGAGGTGGAAGAGGGCAGAGAGGGGATAAACGGTGACTGAAAAAATTACTTTGCATTACATTTAAAAATAATTTTAAAAGGAAAAAATAAATAAAATGAAAAAAAATCAAGTGCTTATATTTTTGTATATCAGGACTTTTGGTATCAAGAATGAACCAGTCAGATGCACCTTTATTATGCAATATGACCAGTAAGGTGCAACTCTGTTATATGATCTATATATTTATGGTTGAAGACAGGGCATTCACACTGGACAGCTATTGTTGTGTGGGTGGTTGTCATTTTTTTATTTGACAATCTAAGGGAAAAGAGGTCAGTGCTCCTGATTAAACAGTCAGGTGTTGCATTGCATGTTTTAAACATTCTTGCAGCACACCAACTAAAAAGCTGTTTCAACCCCAGAAAGTTTCATTATTGCAAATAACGAAACATTATTTATTACTTTGTCATTTACTTATGACTTTGTTTTATTTTGTATTAGTATTATTTATTATGAATTTGTTTCACAGTAATAAACTGATACTCATTTATGGAATGAATTCCTTACAACTCCCTACCATCTGCTGTGTTAGGATTATCTGCCTTTTAAAAATACAATGAAAGTTTTTTGTATTATGAAGCTATATGTTTTTGAAGGGAAAGCCATTAGCAACTGATGCATTTATAGATGAGAATATGCATTAAATGAATACTACTCTTCGTGGATCTGAAGCTGGGGGGTGACGGCTCTTTAAGCCTGGAGGCTTTCTTTCCGAGCTGCTTTTAAATTGCCTGCCACCATTCCCATGCTAAGGGTTTTTATTTTTAAATCTTATTTTTTGCTTTTAATTTAATTTAAATTTTTTTTGCCTCTCCAGACATATTGGTCAAGATACACACACAAACAAAGGTACTCGGAGATACATACAAAGTCAGTCCATAGGAAGGTAAAAAAAGGGTATAGGCAGAAAAGTGGAATGAAGGACAAAAGCACAAAGCGGGAGGGACAAGGGCCAGGAGAAAGGACCTATAAGTGGGAAAGAAGACGGGGCCTGAAAAAGTCATGGGTCTCGGAATCTCCGATGTGAAGAGTCCAAGGGAAATACAGTTTCTTCTATAGTCATTTTACAACAGCACCTATTTCCCAGCTATATGCAGACAGTTACTCCAGGTATCTGATCCTAGACTTTCCTTCCCCTGCTACAAAACAAGAACCATATTCTGTGCGCCTGGTGCAGGGGATGTCAGGGGACATCATTGCTCCAGCATCTCCAAGCTCCCTGCGGTCAGCCTCATTATCGCCCGGGTGACCCACAAGCAATTTCCAGCGTCACCTCCACTGCGGGCCCAGGCGCGGCCTGGCTTAGCCCCAAGCGCTCCCTAGAGACTGGGGGTGGAGAGACAGGGGTGCTCCTGTTCCCGGTGCTCTTCCTCCAAAGCGCTTGGGGGGGGTCCAAGAAAGCCCAGGCCCTCCCCCAAGGAATGATCTCTCACCTGCACTGGATTGTTCAGAAGATTGAGGACTCGAAGGAGAGGCAGGTTTTCAATGTATTCTATCTCGCCCAGCTCAGCGATCTGTTTGATCAAAGAGACCAATATCATCAACAGGCTGAGTGCACAAGGATAACAGGACGCGGAGGAGAAGAGGGGATGCTTCGGATCCTTGAAATTCGGCTTATTTAAAAGCTGCTCTGTTGAATACCCAGCTTTTTAACGAGAATTCTACAGAGTTTCATAGAACACACATTTTCTTTCGTCCTCTGGCTACAGAACAGTGAGGTGCTCCTCATCGGATACATGCTTATTTAAAGGCAGAAGTAAAATGGCACACAGAATCAGGGAAATAGTGCGGAAAATGCTGCGTTTCCCCGCCGCCTGCCCCTCCTAACCCGCCAGCTCCTCTGCGCGCCTCGGCCTGCTCCGCTGGCCTGGTTCGCTGTGCGGGGGAGGCCTCCCTGCCGCATGTGCACGCACAGCTCTGCTGCTTCTTAATAAGAGAGAATTATTTTAAGGAAAGCTCAAGATGGAATTGTCTGACATATTTCTTGACATGGCTGTTACTCAGGTGTTCACCTTAAAATTTTTTGTTAAACTGTAGTGTTATGTTTTATACTCTCTTCTGTGTAGGTTAAGTTCCACAACTTTTAAAAGTAAGGCAAAAAAGGGTCCTTAATTGGACCAACGATAGAGCTTGGGTTGCAGCATGCCTGAATTCTCCACTAAACTAAAGACAAACACTTCTACTCAAATTTCCTGTAGTTAGCATAATTATCATTTTATTTCAAATATATTGAACTTTTGCAAAAAATTAATAATCAGTTTTCATTTATATTTCTCCCCACCCAACTCATTTCTGCATGCATTATAAAAGCCCTCCAACAGCAGAGCCTGAGAACTCCTGAGTTAACCAACCATGAAAGGCAGCGAAAATGTAAACAATTCCCAACAGGCAAGAACACATGCGCCATGTTCGAAGGATGCCATTTCCAAGATGCAATAAGAAAGGCAAAATCTGAGTCACACTATACAACCTGCCCACATTACTGTGGCTATAGCAATGTTATATTATACAGTCTTTTCCCTAAGATGACTAGCCTCCCCCTTAGACTGCCATTTGGGTCATCTACAAGATAACAGGATCAATTTTTTAATTGTAATATTCAGGATGGTAGAAAAGTAAATGTGAGCTCAGCTGGTGTGGCTCAGCGGTTGAGCACCAACCTAGGATCCAGGAGGACATGGTTTAATTCCCAGTCGGGGCACATGCCCGGGTTGTGGGCTCGACCCCCATTAAGGGGCGTGCAGGAGGCAGCCGATCAATGACTCTCATCATTGATGTTTNCTGTGGGCTCGACCCCCATTAAGGGGCGTGTAGGAGGCAGCCGATCAATGACTCTCATCATTGATGTTTCTCTCTCTCCCTTCCTCTCTGAAATCAATACAAACATATTTTTAAAAAAAGAAAAGTACACTGGCTCAGCCATAACTTTCGGACAATGGATTGGTTTCTCTGCAGTACACAGCTCCTGGGCTTGGACCTAACACAGACGTCAGGTGATATTTCCCACAGTCACCATGTCTCACCAAGGCCCGGCCACGTGCACTCACAGACATGCTGGTGAGAGTGGACAATGGCACCTTCTTTCTAAAGGGCAATTTGTGTTAAAAACACATAAACTATTAACCAGCTATGCCGCTTTAGGAGATTTATACTGAAGAGGTAATCGGACGGGCAAAAATTAGGTACAAGAACGCTCTGTCTAGTGTTTTTAGTAAAAGTTAAAAATATTCTAAATTCCTAAAAGCACCATCATTATGTGATTAAATGAGCCATGGCACAGTCACATAACAGGAACACTATGCACCCAAATTACAAGATGACATCTACAGAGATTGACATGGAAAGAACTCTTTCAAATGCTACAAACAGCACGAACAGAATGGTCATGGCCTACAGACAATTATATTACCACTACGATGTCAGCTGGTCTTTCAAGAGTCAAATGAGAGGAATCCAGCTTCCCTCCCAGTCCTTTTGAAGGCAGAATGAGGCTGGTAAGGGCAGAGGGGAGCAAGTGCGGAGTAGCCTGGCTTCAAGTTCCCACGGCTGCCGAATGAGCACATGCACCGGGCTGGCTGCCGTGCATGTGCCCTTCCTCTCCCGCGGACCCCCCGCAGACCTCCTCCACCCGTGTCTTCTCTCTTCAAACGCCAAGACCCACAGCCATGTGTATCACAGCCGATTCCAGAGGGAGGAGGGACACAGCGCCCCACTGGCCTACAGTGAATATTGCCAAAAGCTTGTATTCTTAAAGGAGCTTCAGCCATCTGCTGTTAAGAATGTCCTGCCAGCAGGGCTGATCCCCAGATTCTCGTCTGCCCCTCTTCTCCCGTTAGCTACTCCCCACCCTCCAAAAGCCCGTCAACTTGGACTTCAGAGGGAGAGCAGTTGAGATGACTGCTTTTTTGCCATTTCCTTCTAGGTCATGCTCGCCAAGCCTTACCATCCAGACCTCACAGGGCCTGTGAAACCTTTTCGATAGGTGATGATAGATAGATAGATAGATAGATGATAGATAGATAGATAGATAGATAGATAGATAGATGATAGATAGGACAGCTAGACATTTGTGAAATAATGACACTAAATCTCAGAAAAGTAAAATGACATTCTCTAAGTAACTCCCAGACCAGTATCTTGTTTCAAGAAGAAAGGACCGAGATTATGATAAACATTTTTGGGATAAGTTTTAAATGCTAGAAATGACATCAAATCTAACAAGGACCGTACAGCAGAGAGTGACAAAGGCCCCCAAATCACTAGTTGATGGTAAACATTTTCAAAGGCACTTAAAAGACACGTTTAAATGATCACGTGAAGTACGGCAGTGTTTCAACAGCTATAACCAAGTAAATAATACTGATGAAGGTGCTACAATAAAACAACATTCCTAACATCAAATTAATCACACGAGAAGCAACAGCTACGTTATATTTCTTTTAAACGATAAATTTTCCATCCTGACGCATAGCATTCTCAGTAGTGCTGGAGAAATCCCTGAGGAAATCTTTAGACAGCTCAAAGAATATTTCAGAGTACTGTCGGTTGCTCCCCAACCTGCCCACTGGGGAGCCCGGGAATTATGTTATTGTTACAAACCCAGTCATCGCCGAAGGATCCCCACCGCTGGGAAATGTGGCCACTTTTTATTTTAATGCAACCTCTTTAATATTTAAACATTATAAGCTCCTTTCTTCATCACTGTTTTCTTTAAACTTTTTCAAATGTAATTTGAATAGTCTCTTGAAACAGAAAAGAACAATATATTATTTGTGGGGTCTTTCCAGACCAGCGCTATGCCGTGGGGTAGGGTCTAGCCACAAGTGGTAACTTGGCGCCTGGCACATGGCTAGGCTGGGCCGAAATGTCCTGCAGTGTAAAACACACCAGATGTAAAAACCTTAGTGTGACACACAGAAGATCAAATATTGCATCAATACTTTTTTACATAGATTACATATTGAAATGGTAATATTTTGGGTGTATTGAGCTAAATAAAACATATTATTAAATTTAATTTCACCTATTTCTTTTTAGCTCTTTTTGTGGCTACTAGGAAATCTAAAGTTGCATACATATTCATGTCTCACATTACATATATATATTTTTTAAATATGATTTTATTGATTGCAGAGAGAGGAAGAGAGACGGAAAGAGACAGATAGAAATATCAATGATGAGAGAGTCATTGATCTGCTGCCTCCTGCACGCCCCCCACTGGGGATCGAGCCCATAACCCAGGCATGTGCCCTGACCGGGAATCAAACTGTGATCTCCTGGATCCTAGGTCGATGCTCAACCTCTGAGCCACGCCAGCCAGGCTCACATTATATTTTTATCAGAAAACACTCTTCCAGGACATTTCCACCATCCACNCTCTGAGCCACGCCAGCCGGGCTCACATTATATTTTTATCAGAAAACACTCTTCCAGGACATTTCCACCATCCACTTTTCTGAAAGGCGGGCCATTAGCATTTCATCCACTGGATTATCTTGCAGGGTGAAGAGCACTGGCTCTAGGGGCAAACCAGTCTATATTTCAATCCTGGCTCTGTTATTTGCTAGATAAACAACTTTGGACAAGTTACTTACCTCTCTACATCCCAGTAGCAATAATAATAGGGTTATAGAAGATGAAATGAAGTACATGTAAAGTGCTTAGAACAGTGCCTTGTGCATAGTATTCAGTGCATATCACAATTATTTGATGACTGTAATTGCTACTATTAGTATCACCTTTGCTGCTTTTCCTGAATCCTGGGAGCACTGAGTTGGGAGCACCTTCCCAACATTCCCCATATATACATGAGAATCATGCTAATGGCAATTTCATGGAAAAGAAACTAAAACCATATGAAAGAGAGACGATGCTGACTTCATAAGACACACGGCACAGGAGCAAAAGTTGTCCATCAGAATTAACTTTAGAAGCTGACAAAATAATTTAACATGAACCAAGTGAAAGTAAGGAGGAACAGTTTTGTCTGTAATTAAATATCTACTTCTTCCCGGACATAAAGACTGCCTTTTCTTGATTTTTAAAAAACCTAACAGATGCCCTGCTGGGTAGCTCAGTTGGTTAGAGCATCATCCTGATACGCCAAGGTTGCAGGTTCGATCCCCGGTCAGGGCACATACGAGAATCAACTGATGACACATAAATAAGGGAACAACAAATCGAAGGTTCTGTTTCTCTCTCTCTCTCTCTCTCTCTCTCTCTCTCCCCCCACTCTAAAATCAATCAATAAAAAAATAATAAAAATAAAAACCTAACAGAGATGGANGCAGAAATAAGGGAACAACAAATCGAAGGTTCTATTTCTCTCTCTCTCTCTCTCTCTCTCCCCCCTCTAAAATCAATCAATAAAAAAATAATAAAAATAAAAACCTAACAGAGANACATAAATAAGGGAACAACAAATCGAAGGTTCTGTTTCTCTCTCTCTCTCTCTCTCTCTCTCTCTCTCCCCCCACTCTAAAATCAATCAATAAAAAAATAATAAAAATAAAAACCTAACAGAGATGGAACTTCACTGGAGAAAGAGCCACCAGACTCTGATGAGCACCGTCACGGCTGAACAGAGACAGGTCTCCACAGCATCACATCTCACCCCAAGTAGGACCAACGTCTCCTTCAGGGTCAGCAAACTTTCATTTTCNCTTCACTGGAGAAAGAGCCACCAGACTCTGATGAACAGAGTCTGAACAGAGACACGGCTGAACAGAGACAGGTCTCCACAGCATCACATCTTACCCCAAGTAGGACCAACGTCTCCTTCAGGGTCAGCAAACTTTCATTTTCAGGAAGAAACAAACATTCAACTTCCTTAGAAATCTTTCTCAAGCGTGATGAAATACTCCATATGAATAAAGTCACAATGCAGACCTTACTGCATAAGAAATCAGAGATAGGTACCAGCTCAATATACCAGGATTAGAAGTTCAACTGCTTTATTAAAAATAAAGTACAGTCAAGAGTGAAAGCTAACTTATATAACTTGTGACATAAGGTGTACATTAAGCCAGATGCATAAATTTGAGTAAGTCCAATCCCCAACTCATACGGCTGGGCAACATGCACGATTACAGCGGTGCCTCGGTTTTCAAACGTCTCCGNGAACGTCTCCGTTGACGAGCATTTGGGGTCACGAATGCCATAAACCCGGGAGGAAATGCTTCGGTTTTCGAACACGCCTCGGAAGTCGAACATGCCCNAAACGTCTCCGTTGACTAGCATTTGGGGTCACGAACGCCATAAACCTGGGAGGAAATGCTTCGGTTTTCGAACACGCCTCGGAAGTCGAACATGCCCCACGGCTTCCGCTGAGGGCGAGATCCTGAGGCTCAGCTGTCGGTTTTCAAACGGTTCAGAACTCGAACAGGCTTCCAGGACGATTACATTCGAAAACCGAGGCACCACTGTATCCCACGGGATGTGAGGATTCACTCCCTGTGCCTCTTTCCTTTCAGTGGCAGGGTGGGCGGCACAGCCTGCGGCCACTCCCCCGTCTAGCTTCCCCGTGTTGACATTTCAGGCATTCCTATCGCTCTCCTTCTGCACAAAACCTCACAGGGACACATTTACCTCAGGTCACGTGCACTTGGTTGCAGTTGAAACGTTTAAAACCATGTAATGTGGAATCATCAAATTTTCAAAAATTAAGAATTGTAAGTACAGTATTTATTTCTTTTTTGTCCTTCAGCTACTGCTCCAGGTTTTCCAGAATGACGTTTCTGGGCTGGCATTTGATGTGACAGCCCTTGAGCAACCAATAGCAGGTCCAGATGTGTGCTCCTCGTGGACACGGGAGCCGGCACGCGTGGGGCAGGACCTTACCTTGTTACTCTCCAGGTTGATCACTTCCAGGAAGTCGTGATTCTCTAGGCCCTGGAGGCTGCTGATCTGATTGTGGGACAGGTCCACGATCTGCAGGACTTTCAGTTCGTCCAAACCCGTGATCTTCTCAATCTGGTTATGGCTCTGAAATGGATAAAAGACAATGTCCTAAAGGCCTCTATAGGAAATAAAGGTGTAATGACAAGTTTCATTCAGAACACTGCCCCAAAGCTCTAAAAGTCAGTAAGCCACTCTTGTCCAGCCCACCCCCCATTTCCATCATTCGCCACCCTAAACATATATACATACAGCCCAGAAAGAAATCCCAATTTTTCAGCTGGAAGACTCAGAATATAATACTTTCACTAAAGTTAAAGCAAGATGACCATTCAAATCAGTAGGACAGATAAAACTAGGTAATATAAGTTCTTTACATTGCATAATCTAATGCCTAACGACAGTGTAAGTCCATGCTTACCTTTAGAAATAAAATGTAGCCCGGTTGGTGTGGCTCAGTGGTTGAATATTGACCTGTGATCCAGGAGATGGCAGTTCGATTCCCAGTCAGGGCACATGCCCGGGTTGCGGGCTCGATCCCCAGTCGGGGGCGTGCAGGAGGCAGCCGATCAATGACTCTCCCATCATTGATGTTTCTCTCTCTCTCCCTCTCCCTTCCTCTCTCTGAAATCAATACTTATTTTTTTTAAAAAAAGTAATACAGTTCTTTCATCAGCATCACAATAAACCACTTAACTACTGTAACTTCCACATACGCTTTGTTTTCAGCAACATTCTAAATATAATCGCTTCACAGCGTGAGGGCTGTGGGGGTCTCTACAAGCCTTCAGTTACTTGTGCACTGTCCTTACTTGCTAAGGGAGGTGGCTGCACAGGAGCTCACCAGTGAACCACAATTTCCCCCTACATTTACCGCAAAAGTTGATGGTAGACAACCAACTACTGGTGTGTATAGTGAATTCTTCTTTTTTCTCTAAATCATAAAATAAATTATTTTCAATAATGAAGCAATTGGTTTTCTGACCCCCACAAATTAAAAAAATAAAAGCATTAAAAACTATTGAAACAAATGTGTATCATTTTACTTTATAGATTTTATTAACATATGGGGGGGAAAAACTTCCTAGTCTCAAAAACTTTAAGAAAAATTAATGATGGCACAGCCTGGATTTTCTAGTTCATCTTGGGTAGGGGCGGGGGGCAGGGACTGGGAAAAATCCACCTAATCCGTTTGCAGAAAAAAATAAGTCTCTTACCTTTTTTCTAAAAGCTACCTGCGACATGAAACTGTCAACATGAATTACTTCTTTAGTTATTGAAACAAAGTCTTAGGGAGAAAGTGTTATGTGTTGTTCTTCTTTTGTTTTGTTTTTAAGGTTTTTTAAAATTGATTTTTAGAGAGAGGAAGGGAGAGGGAGAGAGAAACATGGATGTGAGAGTGAAACACTGACCCGCTGCCTCCTGCACGCCCACTGCCGGGATCCAGCCCGCAGCCCAGGCATGTGCCTTGACCGGGAATCGAACCTGCAGCTTCAGGCGCAGGGACAACGCTCAGCCAACTGAGCCACACCGGCCAGAGCTATCTACTATTCTTACTAACGAGTTCACCCCTCGTTCCCTTAAGCACACCCCAGAGCTCTTTCTCCACTTAGAGTTAATGGGAATGCCGTTAACAGAAAAGCTATGTAAAGAAAGGGTAAGCTACACACAGAACAGTACAGGCTGCCAATAATTCTTCAAATTGTCACAACTTTGAAACGTGATTTTAAAAAAGAATTCTTAAATTTGCAATCCAACTTACCAAGTTCATTTTCATTTATGCTTTGCTAGTATGCCTTAGTGGGCAGAAAACATGCAGCCTTGGGGCGATGATTAAACCTTTCCCGGGCCTCATTTCCATCCTCCGTACTGGGAACCAGTACTTTCCCCTCACCTAACTCCCTGGAAGGGAGGAAGGGTCCTAAAAACACACTTCATCTCCAAGCTAGGGGGGAAATTAACACAGGGCCATCCACCAGCTCTCTGCGGTTAAGTAAGTCAGGGATGGTATACGGCGTATGTCAAAATTCTGCAGAAAACCCCAGGTGTCATTTCAAACAACAGCTCAACACTCCTGTGGGGTAGTTGGCATAAGAATTTAACAGGCTACCAGCCTCATGGCTTAAATCCCCCCTGCCCACCTGTGACAGGTATGATAACAAATAGCAAAGCCATCTAGGTTAAGGAGTAGGAGGAAGGGGGAAGGGAGACGAAAAAAATCCCAGATAAGCCAAAAACTGTATGATCAGCCCCAAATTAGTGAGCTATGCTGTTATATCAAAAATACTGTGTATTTGGCACTATTATGATCCTGCTGATTTTTTCTGTAAATTCTATCTTCATTGAGCCACAGTCACACAGCATGTTATATAGCTAAAGAAGAGTGCTCTCTATGGGGAAAAAACAAGTTTAAACTCTCTCACTGGAACTGTTATTTATTCTCAGCCCTAATTCTGGTTGTTAGAAGGGGGGACTAGCATATATTAATATAAAAAGACTGCAAAAATTCAGTGCCCATCTTGTGGATCATTTGAAAGTAAGAGTGTTAACAGCAATAAATATAATGCTTAAATGTTATTTCACCAATAAGACATTATAAAATGTATTTTTAAATAATTGTTACAAGTATACCTTTCTTTCTCAATGTAATAAGTCAAACCTCTGAAAAATTGAATTTGGATAACAAATTAGAAAATCATTTCCCTTTAGCATAAAATATAGATCACACACACACACACACACACACACAGATATGAAAGGAGCAAACGAAACTGAAGACAGTATCGTTCCATTAAGGGATTCTCTCTTTATAAAGCCGAAATTTCCTAAACAATTATAATTCAAACATTTACTAAAATGTTAACTAGGACTTCTAAAGAATAACTCTGTTTGTTGGACTCACCAGGCAGAGTATTTTGATGGGCAGCGTGCCCAGGCCGTTGATGGCTGTGATCTTGTTCTGGGCCAGGCTGAGGTGAGTGAGATTGCTGCACAGCTCCAATCCGCTGATTTCTTCTATCTCGTTGCCTATGTACCAGGACTACGTTTAAGGAAAATGTTGTTAAAAACATTTTAGAGAAGAAAGAATCGGTGTTCAATCAGACAGCAGGGAAAACAGAGCAGTATTATGTGCCAGCGTAGCGTAAACAGCAGGTGTTGAAACACAGTTTTCATACAGAAGTTAATACCAGCAGGGCTTAAATGAACGTTTAAAGGCATATTTTCTGAGTGTGCTTGGTCACATTTGCACGTGACTCATTTAGTCGGTGGGGAAAGAAACTGCAGAGGGGCTCCCAGCCGCCTCCTCGGTGCCTCCAGGTGCCCGACGCAGACGGGACTCTGGGTCGGCCGCCCGGGGAGGCCCGCGCAGCAGCTGTCCCACCACCGCCAGGGCCACAGCCGGGGCCACCGCCAGGGCCACAGCCGGGGCCACAGCCGGGGCCACAGCCAGGGCCACAGCCTCGGCGGCCAGCGGGCGGTAGGAACGGCCCTTTCTCGTCTCTTTAAAGCAAACGAAGCCAAAGCTCTGCCTTAATTTCCTCATTCACTAAGTTTCTATTCACTGCTAAAATGTTAACTTATCCCCTGTGCCATCCTTGTGGGCACCTAAAACTGTCATGTCCAAGTCACTGGATCCTCTCGCCTCTCTCNCTGTGTGCCACCCTTGTGGGCACCTAAAACTGTCATGTCCAAGTCACTGGATCCTCTCGCCTCTCTCTGTCCTCGATCTCCTTGGCAAATTCCTAGGATGTGATATCATCGTCCCACCAAAGCTCAGTTTTCCCTCCCGAGTAGGCCGAGGCATCACCGTTTTCTCAGCCACTTGTAAGCTTCAGGGCAGCCAATCAGTCTCTAAACCTGGCATTTTTTGCTTCAAAACATCTCTTTAATTATTCCCTTCCTTTTCATTCATTCCTCTGCCAACTTAATTAAGCTTTAGCACCGATGGGTACCTGCAGCATCCTGTCCCCAAGTCACCTTACACGCTGTAGTTAGGTTAATTTTTTTCAAAATACTGGTTGGATAGTATGCTTCAATTAAAAAATTCTCATAGGATTAATTCCAAATTCCTCACTCTAGCATTTAAGGTTCTTCACTTTACACAAAACCTATTCAATCAGTTTCATCCCCTTTATAACCCGATGAGAATTCTCCAGTTCTGCCGGATGAACATTCTCAGTGGTTCTGGGATGCACTGGCAACTCCTCTACTCGGCGGAGTGTCTTTTCTTCACACTACTTTCCAGCTCCTTCCTAGACCCCGCCTTTCTTTAGGCGCAATGTCAAATTCCGCTTTTGTTTTTACTTTTTTTTTTTTTAACATTCACATTCAACCAACATCTTCAGTATTTATTTTTGGTACATAACTTCATTTTCTTATTTCTTTTTAATCACATTAGTAGGTACAAATGATGGACTGGAAGAACACATTCACAGCTTCTATAGTAGACAAAGGACTGCCATCTAGAATACATAAAGTGGCCGTAAACAAATAGGGGGAAATACGAAAACAACCCAGCTGAAAATGAAGAAAGAATACGATCAGGAGATTCCCAGGAAGTTCCCAGAAGAGCAGATCTGAGTGGCTAAGAAACATGTGAAAAGACACTTCACCTGTGGTCAGAAGATACAGGTTAAGACAAGGAGCCATTCTCCAACCATCAGCTTAGCAAACACGTGAAAGGCTACACACCGTAAAGGTTCTAAAGGACAGATACGTTCACACCGCTGGGCGAGAGGTTCATTAGGATGCAGCCACCCTGGAGGGGATTTGGCCGTAAATATGTCACAGGATCTCCACGTCTTGGTATCCACTCTACACAGACCACTTCTTGAAAGCTTTTCTGTTCCATTTCTAACCCCCCAGCCATCTCCATCCATGAATCAGGGTCAACAGCCACGGAATCAATTTGTCAAAAGGAAAGGAAGGGATCGTAAGCATCACAAAAGCACATTTTGCCTTGTAATTATTTGTAGTTATCCTAACTCTACTACTTATGAGTTATGTGACTTGACCTCTCTGCTCAGATGCGTCACTTGCAAAGTGAAGATAACACCAGGCGGCCCTGAAGGCCCAAAGTTAGATCATGAGGAAAAGCTGGGAAATGGGTGCGAATGAGCTGCATGCGCCATGAAGCACCCGCAAGTGGGGGCACTGTCACCCTTCCTGAGTTGCAAGCACGTGAGGCCAAGGAATCCCATCCTCTGTCACTTGGCCAATAGCACGAAATGCAAGATTCAAGCCAGGATTGATTCTGAAAAGAACCAGGCCAGAGAAAAAGGTAAATTAGGAAACTAGAAGCAACGAGGAGCAAAGGTTGCCAAATGAACTGGAAATTCCTAGATTGTCTTCACTGGTTCCATTCAGAGTTGACTGTTAGGCGGAAACCTAGTTCTGCTTGTGGTCAATACCCATTTTCAAATCTACCTGCGCAGAGCTTCCTGCCAGGATAGCTCTGCAAACAGACGTCAGGCTCGCCAAGCTCCGCTCCTCTCTGCTTCCATTCTTTTTGGTTATTTAAATAATCATCCTATTGCTAAACCCAAGACCAGGCCTTTGCAGGCATGGACGGTAACACAGGGTGTGAAATGTAGAAGATGGGAGGTTAAACTCTCACACAGCCAGATGAAATAAAATGTCCTCGGAAGAGGCAATCTCTGGCAAGAAAGCCTTCCAGTGCCATCTGTCTTGGTCTAGCACAGGGAGCAATAGTTCTTAGGTCCTATTTCAGGAGCACTAGTGTCCTGGTGGCTGTGCCCCAGCCGAAATGAAGACACTCTGAACTATGACAAAGGGTACACACAACACATGCTTGTGGGTAGCTGAGCCAGGAAGCAATCCCGTGGGAAGCAGGAGAGGATCAGAAAACTAGGAAACGGGCCCTGGCCGGTGTTGCAGTGGTTAGAGCATGGCCCACGCACTGAAGGGTCCCAGGTAGGTTCCCGGTCAAGGGCACATCCCTGGATTGCAGGCTCCATGGCCGGCCCAGGTTGGGGTGTGTGCGGGAGGCAACCAATCGACGCATCTCTCTCACACTGATGTTCTCTCTCGCTCTCTCTCCCTCTCCTCCTCTCCCCTTCCCTTCCTCCCTTCCGCTCTCTTTAAAAATCAATGGAAAAAATATCCTCAGGCGAGGATCAGCAACCAAAACAAACGAGAAAACAGGAATCCTGAACCTATGACGAGATCATGGGAAATGAAAAGGAAGCTTGTTTACTGTGCACACGGTAATTTCCCAAGACACTAGAGGCTAAACACAGCTCCCTCGGTGCATCCAGCCGACTACCTCTGACTAGGGTGGCAAGTCCCCTTGCCCGACGGCAGCACTGCGGGCAGGAGGAGCAACACAGGCCTCCTTCAGCCACAACCCTGGGTCCTGCGGCTTCCACCGCCGTCAGAGCGGGGGCCCGAGGCGAGGAACTGACCGAGCAGCTCTCCCGAGAAACATGCTCATTTCAGAAAAACTGTCTGTTTCCCAACTCTTCGTTCCCCTTTAGGTGTCCAGGAATTTCAGGCACTATCAGTTACGGAGGTTCTTGAGTGAGGAGTATTTTCTACAGTGGCACAGCAGCTTTCCCGCCTAGTGACTCCCAGTCTCCTCGTGTGACCACCAGCAATGGTCACGGTCAATGTGCAGGACGGTCCAACAGTCCCCATGGGCCACACAGAGCTCTGAGCTCACAGCCTGCTTTCAGGGACACCTTTATCTCCCCAATCGCCCGCTTTCTTATTTTAAGAATCTTTACGAAACAGCACTTGCCCTTTCTCCTAACATTATTCTTTCGTGTTCTTTCTTAGGTCTTGGGACTTTCGGGTAAGAAGAAATATAATCTGATAAGTCACTAAACTATTATAATGAATTGGCTTACTGGGTTAATCCTCTTAGGTATGTTTTAATTTTCAAAGGCCACTATCAGGAGAAAGACTCGAAGAACCCCAAATTATCACATTGGATTCCAGCTCTGAGCTTTTCGTTCTGTGAATAAACCTCCTCCAATGGAATTTTAGACCCTCAAGGAAACTGAGCGAAAGAGCCCAGGGGCACACGGGCAGAACCGCGCAGCAGGGAAAAGCCCAATATTATATTTTTACATTTTGGCGGTGCTGTCAGCAGTTCACAGCGCTTGACATGAATTATTCACTAGCTCAGCATTCACTCTTATTCATGCATCTGTGATCAAAAAATATGGTTCGGGTGGACACACAGTTACCAGAAATATTGGAAATCCATCACGATTCTCTTAGTGGGAGGCCTGCAATGATGGCTTTAATCAAACCAGTCTCGAAAGGTCTATATCATCTTCCAGGGAAAAGTGTCCTTCCCGATGGGAGTGAAACCCTCTAAGAAATGAAACACGCGCACCCTTCAAACGGCGAGGTGGTAACAGGGTAATCACTCAATGGCTGCAACATGGGAAAAACAATGGAATTCAGAAGACGAGCCTCAGTTCAACCATTTTCCAAATAATCTCGGACAGAGAACCTCCCTGAGTCTCGGGCTCCTTCTCCATAAAATAATGGTCAGTGCTGGATGGTCTCTAAAATCCTGTCTGGCTTTAAAAATTCTATGAATCATTTTTAAATTTCATAATTCTATAATCGTAAATTCCAATGACCAACCAGTCCGGATTTACAGGTAAAGAATAAATTGCATCCTTTCTCAAGGATAAATAAATTTACGTACACTTGGCAAAGTTTATCATCTTGCTATTTAGGGTGATTATCAATTAATCATCAGTTATGCACATATGAAAGGACAGAACAGCATAATAAAATAAACTACAAAGTCGATAGCTTATAGTTAACTCATTCTGAGATATTAACATAGTTAATCTACTATAATTACATTATCGGTATTACTAGCTTTATTAACTACTTTGTTTTTAAATAATTGTTCTGTTATGTTTTCTATATTGATAATTACACTTTAACTTCATTTTAAAGAAAGTTGCACTTTTTCCCTCAAGTAGTGAAGTCATATATGCCCACTGAGGAAAGCTTGAACAGATATAAAAAGTATAAAAAAGACAGCAGTCAAGTTTCGGAGCGATCGGACTAGAAGGGCATCCCTTGCGTCTGACAGAGAGGACTCTGGGTCAGAGCTGGGCTCTCAGTGCGGTCCTCAGGCCGGCAAAGCAGCACGACCCGGGAACTTGCTAGAAACGCGGAACCCCAGACCTACGCCATCAGCAGCTCTGAGGACGGGCCAGCAAGATGTCTTAACGAACCCTCCAGGGGATTCTGACACAGCTGACGTTTGAAGCTTGGTAAATAACTGTTTTCAAAGAAATTAATTTATAATTTTCAGGCTTTTAAACGTGTTAACTGACATAGGTACATCACTGGTCCACAGATGGCCTGCTTTTTATTTACTTTGAAAAATATAATGAACACCCTTGAAAACACCATCACCATCACCCCACCCCCAACCCAAGAAGTAGAACATTAGCAGGAACTTACTCACCCGTCTCTGCACACCTCCCCCGCCCCACCCTGGGGTCCCCCTCGGAGAGAACCGCTGTGCTGAACTGTCTCTTTCCCCTTCCCTTTCCCATTGGTTTCACACCTAAACTATATTTAGTTTACTCGGGTCTCTCCCACTGCTGCATGCAAATGTGCTTCACTCATTTTCACTACTATGTATCAGCAAAGCACAGCTTAGCTTCCTCTCACCCATGAGCATCTGGCCTGTTCCGACGTCTGCTGTTACACACGATGCTGCTCTGAGCCTTGTTAACTGACACACAAGCCCCCAGGCACAAGGACGCTACACATCCCACATGTGGGAAATGAAAATATTAGGTCACAGGGGATTTGGATGTTCAACTTTCCAAGACAGTATCAAATTCTCCTCCAAGGTGCTTGAACCGACTTCATACCCATGAGCAACGTAAAAAGGGATCCCTTTGATCTACACGTTCCCCAACCCTTGGCGTTTTTAGATTTCTTAACTTTTGTCCACTCATCGCTCATTTGCACACAGAAGTCCTAGAGGGCGTGGTCCTATGTTCTAAGCGTTCCACCAAATGTGAAGAAAGGTTTTTTTCCTACAAAGTACGTCTTCAAGAAAATGTACCTTCTGTTCTCCCCCATCGCGGCCTCCCGACAGGCGTGATGTGGCCTCGCTGCTGCGCCACCCCTGGGATGGGGCGCNGCAGCCTCCCGACGGGCGTGATGTGGCCTCGCTGCTGCGCCACCCCTGGGATGGGGCGCCTGGGCCACCCGCTCAACCCTCTCTGCCCGGAAAACCCCCAGGTGGCTAGAGAGATGCTCCCTGGGCAAGGGAGGGCGCTGCCCCTCATCGCCCGGAGGCTGATGTCCCCAGCGTAAAGGAGAGGCTCGAGCTCATTAAATTCACAGACCCCGTTCACCCCTGAGGCTCTGGAAGCTGGAGTGCGCAGCTGAGGGTAGGCAGTCTGTTCGCGTGCAGCAGACCTGTGCCTGAAGTTGGTTGCAAATCAAAAGTTGTTCTTTTTTAAGTGAAAGCACATTTTAAATACACCAGAGAAGCTTGCTATTTAAAGGGAGATTAGTATGAATTCTTTTGTAAAAGACATAATAATTTTCCTTACGGCCGTATCTGGATTTTCAGATACTGAATTTATATGAAATAGGGTGCAAGTTTAAGTACACTTGAAAAGGAGTCAGATAAAACTGGACTTCTTATCTGATTCTAGAATTAAACTCCGCCTGCGCTGATCGGAATGGCCGTCCCGCTTAGCTCTTCAGGTGCAGAATGCTCTCGGTAAGCTCTGGCTTGCAGTCTTATCCTTGGTAAATAAAACACCTTTCCCTCTTTGTGGTTATTAATTCTTCATTCTTTAAACGAGTCGCACATCCCTAGTAAACTGCCTCTCTGGCACTATCCCATGCCATCTGCACATGCTCAGTAATGGGTCTGTTAACCAAATGCTCCCCTTTACTTATCAAAGGATACTGTCCAGAATGAGTTTCGTGAGAGCCTGGTATGCCGACAAATCACACATTTTAGAAATGTTGTTGCAGGAAAAATCCACCTTCTGAAGAGAAAAAGAACCAATAAGTCATACTTTATTTTTCATTCATCTTAACCACAACAAGTAAATGCACAGTAAGAATGCGTTTCTGGGTGTAGGGTTAGAATTCTTCATTGAAAAGACACTAAAGCGAAAATATTTCCCCCTTTCATCATTGTCTAACTGGGATCCTTTGAGAGATCCTACGAAGACCCCTTCCTTGGGGGCCGAGCAGACATTCCACGACCCAAACACTCAGTTCCTGCAGCGACTCTCTCCTTTTCGGCATTTATTTTCAACTTTCCTGATCTTCCTTCAGGATTTACCTCGGTTTCCCCCTCACCACCACTTCCTTCCGATTCTCTAATGGCCAGAGAACTGCATTCACTTAGTTTATAGCATATCTTGTTTCTCTTCTTTGCCTTTTCTATTTTTATCTCAGTATAGTCTCCATTCGCATCGTGCCAAGCTGACTTCTGTCGCCCTGACATGCATTTACATAGTTGCAGCTTGTATGTGCATGAAGTTTTGTGCTCTGATTTTTTTACTTAGCACAGTTTAGTTTCCACATTTCTGTTCTTCCCTGGTTCATGCGTGTGTATTTTACTGGCTATGTATCTAGTCCCACTGCTCAATTGTAATCGACTGAACATCTTCCTAATTCATCCCTGGGTCCTATCCCGACTTAACACCCTTCTCAAAATGGACTGTGTTAGGAAAGCATTTCCAGCAACACCCGCTGTTCCCACTCAAAAAGATGAGGTAACAGAAATACAACATTCAATAGCTTCATTTAATTAGTCACCTACCGGCAGAGGATAAACAAAAATGATCTTTTTTTTTTTTAATTAAAAAAAAAGGAAAAACACTCTTACTTTGTTGAAACAGGGCATTGATCACTTGCAGGTGACTTTATAACCAGTTTCTGGGAAACTATGAAGCAATTATATCATAAGCACTATGCCTACCTTCTTGTGCCCTTTAAGACAGTAATTCCACCCCCAAAAATGTGCTATGGTTATTTTATCAATGAACTAAATACTTTAAATACTAAAAACTCTAAATATTGATTCTTAAAAAAAGAAAAATTGGCAGCAACTCAAGTGGCAAGAGTAGAAAACTGGTTCAGTCAATTACAATAAAGCAGTGGGACTAGATACACAGCCAGTAAAATACACACGCATGGACCAGGGAAGAACAGAAATGTGGAAACTAAACTGTGCTAAGTGAAAAAGAGCACAAAACTTCATGCACATACAAGCTGCAACTATGTAAATGCATGTCAGGGCGACAGAAGAAGTCAGCTTGGCACGATGCGAATGGAGTTTCAGGCTCACTTTTTCCTTCCTTATACTAACGATAAACCAGAAATAAACTTATAATTATCTGAGCTTACTTCAAAGTGGCACTTTTTCATCAAACCTTTCATTTCTTATGCCACGTGTCTCCTCGTGACATGTGTCCAGCCACACCCGTCAGGGCTGCGTGCCAATGCCAAGCTCCCCGCGACCTCTGATGTGGGGTTTGGTGACTCCTTACAGGGCTGAGAGCTCTGCCTCCCCCTGGGAGCTCCTCTGGCTCCCAGAGCTTGCAGGAAGCACCCCTCAAACCAAACGAACCTCCTTCGCCCACTAAAGCACAAACACTCCAGGAAACGCGAGTGAAGCGAGGCGCCTGCTCTTTGGGACGTGTGTGCCCTCTGGGTGGTGGCACAGGCTCATAGGCAATAAGGAAGGAGGAAGCGGGCTTCCCAGGAGGGAGGGACATTGTGCGCAGGCCTGATGTTCTGGGAAGATACAGGTTCTCGGCCTCCGACATCGGGTTCAATCCCCGCCCCGCTACCTCCCAGTGAAGACTATTAGCTTCTTAACCTTTCTGGACTTCAGTGTCCTCATCTATAAAGCGGGCCCATTCAGCTGCCCCACAGCTTTGTTGGGGGTGGGAGTTAGATAACGCACTGAAAATACCCGAAGGCCTCCATCGCCCCCCAGGTGCACACGGGGTGCTCACAGCCCCTCCTCGGGCCGTCCGGCGCTCCTCTGAAGCTGCCGATATACTTGCTCTTATTTTCTAGGAGCGTAAAGACGGGGTGTGGGGTACCTGCATAGTGATGGGCGCATGTCATTTCACATTTGTCCAAACCCCAGCATGTACGCCGAGAGGGAACCCCAACGTAAACTATGGACTTGGGGTGACGGTGATGTGCCAGTGTAGGTTCATCGGCTGTAACAAACGGACCCCTCTGGTGGGGGGGCACTGATAACGGGGAGGCGGTGCCTGCGTGCGGGCAGGAAGAATATGGGAAATCTCTGTACCTTCCTCTCAGTTTTGCTGTGAACCTAAAACTGCTCTAAACAAACGAACAAACAAATAAACAAGCTGGGGTATCTGATTAGTTTTTTGTTCGTTTGTGGAGACTTTTTGAGAGAGGGTGAGGTAAAGGTGTGAATGGAAGAAACTTCGAGGAAGTTCTTCCCAGGGCAGAGGTCACCCTGTGGCCTTGACCAATGTCCCCGGGGCCTAGGACAGAATGGAAAAGCCAGGAGGAAAGGTGAGACAGCTCTGCCAGGACAAGTCCCGATAACCTGGAGACCGTGGGGCCCCACAGCGGGCATGAACAGGCACCTCGCGTGGGTTATCTGGACAGAGGAATGTCACCCTGGCATCCCTGTAATTTCAAAGAGGGGAAAAACCACTACTGATAAAAATGGAGTGATGTGAAAGAACAGAAGAAAAATTAAGAAGGGTGTCTCACTGGTAGGGGGGATGTTAGATTCTTGATCTCATATTTGTGCAAATGCCAGCAGAATACTTTGGATCTAACTTAACTTGGTTTGTAAATAAAACTAGCAGCTAATAAAAGGCAATAGTTGATGTCCATTCCTAAAAAAACTTTTAAATTAAATATAGAAGAAGTCCTCTATTTTTAAGTCCAATAGAGGAACACTGATCCTAAGCCCTGAGGCACTGGTTTCCAAATCTGTCAGCACGTTAGAGCCCCCAAGTCCTATCATTACCCTGGGTCACCTGAACCAGAATCTCTGGCAGCAGGACCCAGGCATTGTGGCTTTAAAACTCCCCAGGAGACTGGTGTGCAGAAAAGTCTGGGAACCAGCACTCGATGACCTCCTGGAAGGTTGATGGAAATCGCCCTCCCAGGCCCCACCCCAGGCCCCCTGGTCAGAATCTCATTTCCACAGGAACCCTGGTGAGCTGCGTGCACACTGAAGGTCATGACTAAGCGCCCTGCAGCGGAGCTAGCTGCTCGCCGCCCACTGCGCACAGGGAGGTTAATTCGGCCCAGAAATGCAAAGGCCACTGCAGAGAGGTAAGAATGGAGACCGCAAGTCACCACTTCCCAGGAAAACCAAAGGCTGGGTGCACAAGGAGGCGAAATCTGAGCCCCAGGAAGTTTTTACAGACTTTTCACATTAAAATTATTCTGCCATAATAAAAACATACAAATAATAAGCAGCATTTAAATGAGGGAGAGGGAACAGCAGGAAGCTAGTTCTGTGGTGTGAACACTAGACTTCAGCAGAGCTTCCTGTGAAGGCTACCCACTGACAGACCATCTCCCTTTTCCAAAATAAATGATGTTTAAATCCTCTCCCTTTTATTTGGCCCTACCTCTCGTTCTCTCTGAAGGTCCTATTTTAGTGACATTTTGCTTATCAATGTACTTTGCAAACCAGTTAGCATATGTAACGGGTATATTGAAAAGGTCTACCTTGAGGTTTTTGGGTGGCTTGAAATCGAAGAATGTAGTCAGTTTATTCTGAGAAGCATTAAGTTCTAGAAGATAAGGCATATAGCTCACACAAGACAAATCTGGGGAGAGAAATAAAGATGCAATAGGTGAGCCAATAAAATGAAAATTGGACAAAGTCATTAAAAACAGCATGTGTTACATAAGAACATTTTTAAATTATGCCAGATGCAAGCACCTCTTAATTATTCCAGATGAGTGACATGAATAGGGTGTGTGAAATACACACACACACACACGCACATGCACGTGCATGTGGAAAACTCTCCAGGAGCCAGTAACTAAACTTTCTTCCCAGGGCCTCCCCCCTCCTCCATCCCCTTTGTCCCAGGACAGCCAGGTAACAAATAAGTGAGGCCTCCTTGGTGCCCCAGATCACTCTAGCAGTCAAATCTTCAAAAATTCCAGCCCCAGAGGAAAGGATAAGAAACTAAAGCCGCAGATAATCCCCTTGATAATTAGCCCCAAATAACGGAATTGGGTCTTTTCAGGAAGACTGAAAATGCCACAATTAGAGAACTTTCTTTGCTATGAATTTTGTTTTAGTTGGACTTAATCCTAAGTCTCATTAATTATCTGTAGTGATTTAAATTATTGCTATTATTTTACTTTGATTCTGGATTGGCCCAAGTGTGTGAGTTTTGCATTTTATTCCAAGTAAATATTCTGAACCTCAAGTACTAAGGAAAGGGCTGTCATGCTAATACTCCCAATGAAATTACGTGTGAATAAATAAGTAAAAAATAAATGGCCCAGCCGGCGTGGCTCAGTGGTTGAGCGTCGCCCTAGGGTCCAGGAGATAGAAGTTCGATTCCCGGTCAGGGCACATGCCCGGGTTGCGGGCTCGATCCCCAGCAGGGGGTGTGCAGGAGGCAGCCGATCAATGACTCTCTCATCACTGATGTTTCTCCCTCTCTCTCCCTCTCCCTTCCTCTCTCTGAAATCAATAAAGAAACTAAAAAAAGATGAAGGGCTGCGTTGCCTTTCGCTGCCCTACGGGGCAGGAGCGGGAATAGAGAGCAGTGGGAAGGAGCCGGGGAGGGCCCCCTGCCCGCTGCCAGCACCTCGCTTCTCCCGAGCGGCAGTGAGGACGCCCCCTCCTCTCATCCTAGACCCGGGCCAGGGGCACAGTCGCCGGCGCTGGAAGCTCCCCGCCAGTTTCTAACTCATTTCCTCGGCCTAAACCACACCCTTCTCTGGCCTGTTTAAATCAAACTGTCCTAGGAGTGACGATGCATTGAAACATCAACCCTTGGGTGGGAATTAATGAGCCAAGCAAGGAGAAACGGCCATTGCTTCATGAGTTCTGCCTGTCTGTCCATCCGGAGCTCAGCTCCTTGTCGGTCAGTATTGGTCGCAGGTCTCTTAATTTCCACCAAGCCCTGTACCCCCCTTTCGCTGATCTTTCTGTGGGCAGGTAAGGGCTGTAGATCTGTCTTGAAGCTGAAGCAGCCGCAGCTACCACTCAGATGGACACGAAGAGATGACAAGTACATTTCATACTGTGTAGACGGCCAGTGCTTTCAAATCACTCACAGAAATTCATGGTCTGGTTGCTGGGCTTCTTTCGCAGGCCCATTAATTCCCTGCTTGGTGTAGGGACCTCCGTGCCCACCAGATGGCAGGAGCACCCCATGTCCACATCCAAGGTTCCCAAAGTGTGGTCCTGGCCCAGCTTCACTAGGGAACTAACTAGAAATGCAGATTCTCATTTCCCACCCAAGATCTGCTGAATCTGCAACCCTGAGGGTGGGGCAGAGCCATCGGTGTTTTAACAGCCCCCACCCCTATACCCCTGGTGATTTGGATGCAAATTGAGGCTGGTCTACATCAGTCCATCAGTCACAGTCTACACAAAACGAAAAATCTCCTGTGCTTTATAGACAGTAGGTCCTCAAACACTTGATGAGTTAATAAAACAGGCCATAAAAGATGAAGAGGAAAGCGTCACCCCAAAGGATGGGCTCCTTGCTCACGGCCGGGTGAAGCCCACCTCTTCAGTCTTCCCCGGCATCAGCACTGAAGCTGCCCACCGGCCTGGAACTCCTTATCCAGTAAACGCAACCAACCTTGGAGGTGTGGGGTAGGGGGAGACTCCTGCCAGCAACACTAAAAAGTCTTTCTGATGCTATGATATCTGAGATTTGTTTTCAAATAATCCTGGGGAGGGGGGCAGGGAGGTACAGATGGAGCAGGATAGGCCATGGGCTGGCAAGTTTTGGACTTGACTTTTCATGACAAGAGTCTCTCCACTTGTTCATATGTTTATAATGTTTCTTAATAAAGTTTTACAAAATTGGGGGTGAAAGTCTTTCAAAACAGTAGCATTTTAAGAAAAAATAGGTAGAATATTTCTTAGTCAGTGAAATAAAAAACTTACAATGAGCCAGAGAAGACCATATCAGCAACGTTTAATTGTTACAGGAAAGACAGACGAAAGAGAGTTGAAAGATTATCAGTGAGGAAAGCAGGGCTTTAAGAAATAAGGACTTGCTTCCTTCCTCAGAAGTCTGAAGAAAAGAAATTGTAGGTGAACATATCCCCCCAAAATGTACACACATGTTGAAAAATTATTAATTCCAGTGGGTTAAATCTGAAAAGAAAGAAACATCAATTGACCTCTCGAAAAATGCATGTGTACACATTTTGGGGGGTCACCCTATACTTTAACTTCAAATAAGATCAGGAACTTAGAAACAAGGATCAAACTTTCAAGAAAATGTAGCTAATTCCATTAAATGTGGACAAGGTGTCATAACAAATAGATCATACAGAACTCCAAATGTCAACCTTAAGAGTTTAAAGAATCAACTAAATGTACAGAGACAGCAAACATGGAGGGAAAAATTCACTTGCGAATCCCTCGTGCTCAAACAAGAACAGAAGTAGATGGCCAGGATTAAAATGCTGATGCAAATGCAAAATAAAGGAAAGAGCCCATTAGAGGAAAAAAACAAAAAAACGAATTCCTCTACACTGAATAAGCCAAAAGAGGGAAAGAAAAGGGAATCGTGGAATATTCAGGAAGCACTGAAGAAATAATGACCCATCTGCTCTCAGCCACAGCACTGCAGGCTGCCGGCCCTCGACTTCCTGCAGTCGCCAGCCATGGGCGCCTTCCTTACACGGAAAGCGCAGGCCTCGATGTGTAAATGGATCCACAACCGCATTCATGTCACGCTTTGCAGTATTAAACTACATCGCATGCTGCAAAGCTTACATTTTGAAATGACTCAGTGATCCACCCATTTACTAGAACGACAGTTGCGTACCTTCGATTTTATTGACGGAAAGATCCAACTTCTGTAGGTGAACATATCCACAGAGGATGCTGATGTCAATTAAGTCACGACTCTGAGAAAATAAAGGGTGAAAGACTTTAACGTCGCTTTCACAGGTGAGTACTCAGCTATCTCACAATGTCTATAAACAACAGCTGACAAAACAAATCCAGAGCCTCTTTTATAAAATAGAGGCCAGAGGACAAACATCTTAAATCTACTACTAATAGGGTCGCAAAACAGGCTGTATGGCCCGTGAAAAATGCATTCATCTGAAGAAAATAATAGCTTAGAAAATTAGCGTTGTTAGCAAGTCAAATACAACATGAAAAAGCAAATTAAAGCGGTGTTGTGAAGACCTCTAGAGCAGAGTTTTATATTAAAAAACATGTAATAGTAATAAAGCCACAGCCTTCATCTGGTTGAAGAAAAAGGGAATGCCTAGAACTTAAACGAAATGTTAAAGAGGGTTCTCGCCTAATCAGGGGATCGTTAGTGACAATACCACCCACATGCCCACAGGGGTATTTTTCAAAGCTCTCCCGAAATAACCTCAGCTGATCAAATAAGCCTTCGAGATCCCCAGGGCAGAGCAGTCCTGACTTAGAGATGAAGAACAGGAGGTACAGAGAGGTGAGTAAACAGCCTAAAATCACACAGCAAGTTAGAGACAGAGCAGCAGATCCTAGTCTCCTTTTGTAACATTCCTTCCACGACATGTTGCTTCCAGTGAAGTTTGACAGGGGTTCGAGGGGGGTCTGGTCCCTTGGAACAAAGGCTCAATATCACTGGTTTATGTTGTGATGTCAGAAAAAGCCAGCCACTGAAGTGTCGTCATAAGCAAGTTCTCGAATATCATAACAGCAGCGTTTAATAAATAAATACGGGAAGCCGTCCATGTACAAGGCCTGGTGTGTGGCATGAGGAGAAATACAATGACACAGAGCCGCACTGCGGCCTAAGAAGCCACACACACAATAAGGGGAGGAAGTAAAAAATAATGTGACACATGCCTAAGATATTGAGGGGCGGGGGGTCACTAACCCAGGCAACCCTAAGAAAGCGTACTCAGTAAGGCAGGTTANCGTGACACATGCCTAAGATATTGAGGGGGTCACTAACCCAGGCAACCCTAAGAAAGCGTACTCAGTAAGGCAGGTTATGAAGGCAAATAATTCAACATGTAGTATCGCACATGTAGGGAGGTCAGTGGCAAAGTAAGTTAAGCTGCGGCGCATCCAGCTGAAATAAGATTTGAAGAGTTGCTTCTTTTGGTGGATCAATTCAAGGCATGGCGCTACGCACGAAGTGGGATAGTGATCGAAAGGGGCCGGTGTGCGACGTGTTGGCTGCTGGAACGGCCTCCGCTCCAGGGCCTGTCGGCGCAGCTCACACAGCGCTCCCCGCGCGTCATCGCCGGCGGGCGGAGGCCTCCGCAAAATGATCCAAGTGGGGAGAGGAGGGGATGAGAGCCCCCGGTGCTGTCCTGGGAGGGCTCGCCGCGGCGCCCGCGTTTCCCGGATAGTTTACCGGCTCAGGTCCCAGGCTGCAGTGTGACTGAATTTCATTCACTTGAGTCAATTCTGGTGCCGCGGCAAAACTTCAGTGCGCTTCTGTCACCTAGGTACCTGCATTTACCCAAGGACTGCTTAATGCTTTACAATGGAAGGAAGCAATAAGAGTTAAGTTGTTTTTCTAGACTACAGAGGAACAACGTGGGGCTCGGCTGGTGTGGCTCAGTTGCTGAGCGCACGTCTGGGCTTCAGGCTTGATCCCCAGTAGGGGGTGTCCAGGAGGTCGATGTTTCTCTCTCTCTCTCCTCTCTCCCTTCCTTTCTCTCTAAAAAAAAAATCAATAAAAACAATTTCTTTAAAAAAAAAAAAAGAAAGAAAGAAAACAACATGAGAAAGAAGCTGAAGTCCTCCGAGGATTCTGCTCTTATGATAAAATTGGTGCCAAGATTCTGGGCTATACTAAGACTACTACTGAAATCTTGAAAACTTATGAATAAAAATACTTTTTTTCGTTAATAATAGGTATCTTTAGGAAAGTGAGGGATAGCTCAGAGCCACATATTCCTCGACACACTGAGGGCGNGTAGCTCAGAGCCACGTATTCCTCGACACACTGAGGGCGGGGAGGAGGGCTCGATACCGAAACCCTTTGTTCTCTTGGATTCAGACATAAACTTTAGTCCTGGCGCTGATCAGAGAGAAAACTCTTAGAGAGTTTTTGATTAGTTTTACAGAATCAAATTCAACCTTCTGGAAAGAAGGCATTGATTGCTATAAAACAGACCACTTAAGATGAAAGAAACAGACTGTGAAGGGAATGAAACAAAGGAATTCGAGAGGCTGATTATTAGACTGGCCGGGGCTCTTTGATATCTAATATTTACATAAATAATTCTTATCACCAGTCTCCATCCCATGCAAGGCTCCGGGACTTGGGGCCACCGTAAAAGCTATGCGTACCAGAAAAAGTGGATATGGCCCAACCAGGGTCAAGATGTAGCCGGACAATGGCGATCTTGTCACACTCACCGATAAAGTCAGATTGAGGTAGACCTGCTCAGTCCCAGGACCCGAGCGCCCCAACTGGTAGAGCGCCTCGGCCACGACCTCCTCTCTCAGGACCCCATCGAATTCCTCCTGCAAAAGAAATCGGGGGAGGTGGACAGGGAGGATTCCGTCACCAAAGAAACAAGCCAGGTCCAGCACTTCCTCGGTATGTGACACATCCAGGAGCCGAGCCCTCCAAAATTTACCAGCACCCTAAAAAATTCTGTGTTGAAGGCACATGCAGATTATGTATGATTAAACCAATACCTATCATCAAATCAATGTTTCCATTGCTACTAAATTTTCAAGTGGTCACTTGCATTAGGTGTTCAAAGTGGAACAAGCACAGTAGTAGGCACATCAATATTTGTGGTGATAGTTACACTGAATGACTGTGTCTCCTGTGCTAAGAGCTCTCAATGGATCAAGTCATTTAATCCCCCTGAAGACCCTCAGCTAGGTACTCGTAGCTCCATTTTAAGATGAAGAAGGCTTACAGAGGTTAGTTTGCCTGAAACCACATGAGTTTGTGACAGAGCCAAAACACGAACCCAAGTCTGTCTGACCCCAGGGCCATCCTAACCACAACGCTTGACCGCCTGCTTACACCCTGAAGGCTGGTTTCGTCAAATTAAGGCAATGACTTCTCTAACCCTGGTATTCTTGCTGGAGAAAACAGGTCCTCAGTTAGCTTCTTATTGGCTAATTTTCCTGGATTCATACAACTGACAAGATTTATTAAGAGAGTAATAATCGTTTCCATAGAGGTTGGCCCTTGCTCTGCAGACATCCAGGGACCAGTGGAAACCCAACATGCCCTTTCCTCAGTAATGACAGAAAAAAGAGGTAGCAGGTGGGTCAGCGCTGGGTTTGTGCTGCCTTCAACTCCACAATGCCCCTCACGTTAGAACTCACATTGGCACAAGGACACCAAGTACAGAAACCACACCAGTCACTCAGCACAGCTAAGCAGGCCTAGCCCGCGGCCTGTGACGGCAACATCGCTTCCAGGGTTTCTATACTAATTGGGGTGCCGAGGACATAAGTGGGTAGGCCTGCGCTACTGTCCAGGGTTTAATTCTCGCCAAACCTGTACTAACCCAGGGACGCAAATGCGGCTCGCATGGAGCTAGCACATGGGCTTCGGGGCCGGCAGGCTTGCCTCGAATGCTGGCTCTGCCACTGTGGACACATGGCTTCGGGCAGATAAAATTTTCTCTCAGCCTCATAGCCTTCACCCAGAAATAGAAATATTACCTTCTCTTAATGTTTTGGCGAGAAGGAAACAGTCTAGGTACAGCTCGAACACAACGGCGGGGACATAGCAAGTGTGCCCAGTAACGGCAGTTGTCACCCTAATTGATGCAGTCAGGACTCCCCCATCTTAAGGTTTCATGCATCCTTACCAAACAACCTGTTCACAAAATGGGGAAACATTTACTTTTCTAAATAAAGTTCCAATTTCTTATAAAAGGGCTGGGAAGGGGTAGAGGTGGGGGTGCTACCTTCCCCCCAGAACTTTCCACCTAAACCTCTGAAGTTTACCTGGCCCAGGCCCCCCACTTCTTGGATAAGAGAAGACGCCACAGCCCTTACTTACAGCAGGCGGATGTGTTTCTCGGTGTAGCCGGTGATGTGGCGACGGGCCACACTCAGCATCTTCCCAGATCCCCCAGGCAAGACCCCCCACCAACCCCTCACACCTTTCCCTTCTGGTCTTTGGTTATTTTCAGTCCTTTTATGTCCTATCTCTGCATTGGGTGGCTTCAGAGCCCCAAGGATGGCCATTCAACACCCCTATTACCCAAGCACATGTACATACACACATTACTTTCTCGACCTCAGACACCTTAAAACTGACCTCCGCCCAACTTCAGCCACTCACTCCCATGGCCGTGCCCTGGACATGGTCATCATGCTAAACGGCTCCACCCTAGAAATCTCAAACCCCAGCCTCCATTACTCTGTGATGCCACAAGTGCCCATCCATCAACCTTCCAGCACCTACTGAACCTGCTCTTGGCCCACAACGGGATCTCCAGTCTGTTCAGCCTTCCCTCCTCAGAGTCCACCTGTCCACTCCTGACTACACAGTACTTACGCCCCATGAGCAAGTTCAGTGTCTCTGCTCTCGCCTCTGCCTGTCCCCTGACTGCAATTACCAACATGCATACGCAAACCTGAATTAGGTTCACGATCAAGTGCTGTGCGGGGATTACGTCATGCTCGTGACACGCCAGGCAAGGACACAAGCACCTTCAGGACTTTGATAAACGTTACAATAGAGGTAAGCGGGGTGCTCTGACTATAAACAGGGAGCCCTTTTTGTCGGTCCTAGTGGGGAGCAGGAGAGTAGCAAAGGCTTCCTTGGGGAGAGAGCGATTAAGTGGAGACACAAAGTTGTGCGTTATTCTGGAAAAGGGGAAGAAGGGGCAGAAAAGGTTTTGTACCGCAGACAGAAGGGGAAACCTACAACATCTTGAAGGCAAAGGTGACCATGGTCCATTAGGGGGACCACAAAGAGTTCCAACTAGCTGAGGCATAAAGTGGGAGGGGGGAGTCCAGTGCCTTGTGCATACAGGTTGAAGAATTAATGAACCCGCTCTCCCCGAGCTGCTGAGAGGGCTAGGACCGGCCCCACAGCCACGCATCCTGGTGCCACTCTAAAGTCAGCTTGCAGCTGGGCCCTGGTGCTATTCCAGGCCCCCCCTCTTCAGCTGCCTTCAGCTCCCCACCCGCCTGGATTGGTCAGCTCCCCATCTCTGTCCTCAGGCTGCCCAGTGCCTCCACTCCTTCGGCGAAGTGGAAACGACCAGGCACTACCCCCTCAGTGTTCTGCACCTGCCCCAGAGCTCCTCACCTGCGTCTCAGGCAAGCCTGCTGCTCCTCCACACTCGGGGTGCCCCTCCCTGTTTCCTCAGGGACCTTGCTCAGGGACTGTCAACTTTGCCCTCTTTTGCCTGTGGCTTCAGCCAGTCACTCTCCAGCTGTACAAGGTGTGAGTCTCTTCCGTCCTGAAAGGGCTCCCTCGGCCCTGCATGTTCCATTATCTATGGCCATCCTCCCCCTTCACAGCCAGGCTCCTCGGAGACGCCGGTCCACCCTTCCGTTCCCCTTCTCACCTCCACTCTCTCTTCAGCTCACTGCGGTTAGGCTTCTGCCTTCGCCACACCACGCAAGCACGTGGGCCTAGGTCTCCAGTGGCCCTCAGGGAGGCGAAGCCATAAGCACTTTTCAGGACTCCTCCCGCTTAACATATTGGCAGCAACACCATTCCCACGTCCTCAGGCTCTTCCCTGCCTCGCTTCCCTCCCACACAGCTCTGCTTTCTGCTTCTCTCGCCAGTCCTCTCCAGTGTCCGCCCCTACCCCCCCTCACCTGCAGCTAC